ATGTTTAAGAAAATTTCATTCTCTTTTGATTTTTCCCTCCCCCCATAAAAGAGAAGGTTAAGAAGTAGTAATTAACCGAGATAGATAGAGGTCATATTTTTGTTTACATGGCTACTATCTTATTTTTTAAGTGAGGGTATACAATTATTGGACTATAAATTTATGAAAATTAAAGTTTATTTACATTACAAATCTACACAAAATTCAAACTCATCCAAGAATACTCGCAATATAAACCAAGCATCCATAAAAAGGAATCGTGATAAAGTTACTCAACTTTGAATTTGCTTATTATTTTCGATATTCAAAAATTATTGTCCAATTTTCATTTTTACTTTTAATACAATATATATTAAAAGTGAAATTGTAAATTAGACAACAATGTTGAGACAGATAATGTTTAAAATGAAGGTGTTTTTAGCTCGAAATGTAAACCGAGTCCAAACCATCGGCATTGAATGTATATCAAGCAATATTACTATTATTTTAAGACATAAAAGGAAGGGCCAAATGATCTATGAGCTACAGAGAGTGTAAAATTAAAAATGTATCCGCGACGGTAGGCTAGTAAAAGAACTAATGATTATTAAATATATAAACAAAAGAAATGATATTACGTCATTTTGAATAAGGATAAGAAATTAATTGAAGAATGCATGCATGGTTTCACGCAGAAGAGATGGAGATGGAGTAGTAGTAGCAGCATGCAATGTCATCATGATCTATGAAGGATAGTAGTTGTTTGGTATTTGGTAGATATTGGATTTTTCTAAAGTAAAATTTACTAAAAATCCCTCATTGTTTTTTATTTACTGATTTTTTTTTTCTAATACCAGAAACGCTCTCTCTGACATTAGCGGTGAAGCTGTGGAAATCAGGCGGTTCGTTCATACCCCATTGATTTATTAATGCAAATAAAATACAGAGCGTATAAGGTTTGATCTCGATGGAAAGTCAAGTGACCAACTAAAAGAATATGCAAAACATGACGAGGGATGATTTGCCGAAATAGACAAGTTTCATTCAGAAAGTCTTAACGGTGGCTCAGAACTTACTTAGAAGTGAACAATTTGGTCACCATCCTAGAAGTTACGGCTTTCCCTGCAAAATGTAACAGCTAGCTCCATCATTCTCCTTTTTTTTTTTTTTTGTATTCATTTATATTTTTCTCTTCTCAATGTTTGATATGAAATTAATAAATAAACGACTAAAATATGTTGTTCAAGTTATGTGTACTTAAAAATCTTTAATTTCTTATAAAAACAGTTTAACAAATCAAATTATTATTTTCAGACGATGCGTGTAATAAAATTAAAACTTTTTTTCATCATTTTATCATAAAAATGTAATAGAGCGGAACTAGGAGGTATATTAGCTGGTCTTGCTTACGTGATTGTTGCCCGAAAGCGCTAGGTCGCCGTGCTTGGTGAAATCTTGGAGGATAATTAGAACTAAATCAGGACTTGTAGTTGTCTGATCAGAATGTCCGAATCGAAATATCTCCCATTTCTTAATTATTATTAATTAAATTCTAAATGGAGAAGAAAAAAAAAAGAAAGAAAACAAAAATCACCAGATAAAACCAATAGTTATACTTATCCATAAATAAAGATCTCCATGTGAAAGAAACGTAGCAAACTCAACCAAAGAAGATTTACGATAAAACTTGCTGCAGTAACATGCAAAGTATGATTTGGGCCAAATATTATAATTGTGTAAATAAATAAATCCTACTATATTAGAAACAAAAACCTCCCTTTCAAACACCTCATATGATTGCCACGTGGCATATAGAAAATACTAAATAGCCCTTTTGTCTAACCATAACTAAATTACTAAATTTCCCTTTGCACTTTACGTGACACGTTTTTTTTTTAATTTTTTCTTTATGTTTCATTCAACTAGAGTGATTTTTTAAATTGAATTGATCAATCAGGTTTTTTGTTACAAAGTGTCAATTTTGTTTTAAGCGTATACCCTACGGATGAAGCTTATTACAAAGCTATTAAAAATCTCCAAAACTAAGTATTGATTTGGCACGACCAATGGAGAACAAATAAATCATCTTACTAATATTTAAATTTATTAGGATACTTTTATATTTTATCTAACATTTACTTGAACACATATATTCGATTAAGTTATTTATATTTAATAAGTAACACTTATAAAACATTTCTAAAACATACATGGCGAAATACAATTTATTTTTATTTTTTTTGCGAAATACAAATATTTCTACGATCACACTTATAAAAGATTTCTAAATCCTTCAAACATTTCTAAAATATATCGCTCCAAATACAAAATTTTATTTTTTTCAAATATAAACATTTCTAAGATCTACAGATAAACTGGGCTAGGGTCGCGCATTGCGCGACCAAACATCACTAGTATATATATAGAAAAAAAAAAACTTCCCTGAAAATTTTTAACATGTATAATTATTGCACGGCGTGGATTTAATGGAACAGTAGGATCCCCTCTCATCCCAATCTTCTTCAATTCTTCATCATCGTTCTTATCCTAGGCTCTTATTTATTTATTTAGGTCCAAATAATAGTCCTTCTTTAGGACCTTAATTTAATGATGGATTAATAAATTATTAAAGGGGGAACTTTAAAATTGGGATTTATTGGCATTGGACTCGTGCAATGCAATCACCGCTTTTGACCTTTGACCGAGAGAGGGGGGCACGTGCGCGGCATCTTTTGACCCAAAAATCTCGAGGATTCCGGCTCGGGACACGCACGTGCACTTCTTCTGTCTCTGCCAAAGACGAGATTAATACCCTAACTATTATGGGCTAGTTTATAAAATTTTGTAGTCCTTTTTTTTTTCATCCCCCGCGCGCGCACACACACACAGAACTCAAATATTATTATTACAGTATCATGTTTTTTTTCTTTTGTGTGGGAGTGTTGTTAATCTGGGAAATGAGAATAGTGTTAGAGCTTAGATTCTGTGGCAGAGGTATCAGAATAAATTCGGTGGAAGAACACAATCAGCACTATTAATTATTCCTCAGGAACCAGAGCTTCTTAAATTCGATCATCATACACTTTCTGAACTGGGTCCATCTCCCTTTAGTTTTTAGCTTTTACACAAGCTGGTTCGATTAACTGATGGTAGATCTTTGCTTTAATCTTCTGGAGTCATAATGATTTTTCCATTTGCCACGGTATTGAAAAAATTTAAAATACGGAAAAGAAAAGTAGCTTCCCAGCAGTTATCTTTTGTTTCATATTTTGAATAATGGTGGATTAGTTAATCGGAGTATTACTTATGTTTTAGAAAAATAGTTCACCAAATGTTTGGAATTTCATAGTAAAAATAGCACAATCTCAAAATTCTACTTGGACTATTTTCTTTTGTCATTGTTATTATTTTTTAAAATAAAAAATAGTGATCGTCCAAAAATTATCAGCAAAAAATAAATGTTGCGGGACGAAAGATGCCAAAAACAAAATGGAATAAATGCCAAAAAAAATGGAAGTGGAGGTGCGGGGAATCGAACCCCGTGCCTCTCGCATGCGAAGCGAGCGCTCTACCATATGAGCTACACCCCCGATGATGATAAGTTCGCACGTAATTTAATATTTAACAAAATGATGATCTGTGATTAATTCACACGTAATCATTTTTTATCAAAAGATATTAAGTATAAATAGTGACGATCCATACTCCAGGGAGATTTTTCAAGTGGATTTTCCTATTATATCTAAAAAATTCGTAACTTTTTTTTTTTTGCGGCAAACGTTTTCATTTTTTCATAAATGATTTAAAAATATGACACAGTTATTTACCCATACGAATATAATAAAACCATGTAGGTATATTAGATTCAAGTTGGCATCGTAATATTATTACTATCTTCTTCTTCTTCTTCTTTTTTTTTTTGAACATATTATTTTTATTTTTATTTTATTTTTAATTACGGAAGAAGCATAATTTGGGTACAAAACATCCTTTTAAGTTGGGGATGAGGAGTTCCTATCTACTACTAATTGTTAGGCAATATTAGATGAGAGTATTAACAAAATCTGTAATCCCGTCGAATAAGAAAAATCGAATTTGACTAGTGAATCTGCGGTTTCATTAGATATTCTACGAATAAGGCTATGAGTCACTCTTCAGTTTTTATCCAGCAACGCCACAATAAGAACATTGCTGGACGGTACGAACTTGTCACTGTATTTAAGGGAATTTATCGCTTCTGCCGAGTCCGACTCCAAAATTATTTAAGAACATTGCTGGATGAAGAACATATTGTTACTATCTTAATTCATCTTTTTCTTGGTTTTTGAAGCTACACAGATCCAACAGAATAAGATTTGGGCCCAATAGTCACTTAGTTGAGACCAAATGGAAAATTGGGCTTCTGGTTCTAGTAATGGTATTATAATCATCTTCCATCTTCATTAGTCAGCATTGGCAAATTAATATAATCGGTCAATAATAAATTCAACCACAAAATGCTGTCATTCTCCTTGTTATTCTTAGGGCTTTGGGGAGAATATACTAGGATCTTCACCAAATTTAAAACTAGTGATTTACAAAGAAAGCTACTCTTCCTATCAAGTGTTTTTTGGTCAAAAAAATTAAAATAAAATGAAATAGAAGACAAATTCAGACAATTCGAATCAGCATATTCGATTTGGATATGTGTTATTTCCAAAGAGAAAAATAAACCATCGCAGAAGAAGATTAAACAACATAAAATGGAAATTTTAATTTGCGGTAAATAAACCTTGAAAGTCCAATTTCGGTGAGCACATAAATCAACCCAAAAACAAAATGATGACATTTATCTGTCTTCCAGAGAGTAACTGAGTAAGCATAGCCTTTTGAATAATTGAATTTGAACATGTTACTTTGTGTAATTATCCACAGACTTTTTTTCAACAAAATTTCAAAAAACTACAGCAAATTCAGCTGCCCCACCTTTTTTCTTTTCCTCTCAATTAGTATAATCCACACATTGACTTATTTTTCCTTAAAAGGGATTCTGCATTTTGGCAGCTCTATGATTCATTCAACAACTAGTCACTTTCACATGTTACACCTTTAGCTACAGGCTAACCAACAACTTATCTTACATTTTTCTGAGTTTTATATAATCATAAATCTTAGAACAAATGACATAATTAATTAGTGTTTGAATTAGCTTGGGGAAGATCATGGAAAACAATCATCACCCTAAAGAAAAGATTTATGTAGCCATTGGGACTGACCTGTCTGAAGGTTTTGCCACCTTAAAATGGACATTAAAGAGGTGGGCTTCTGCTTCTGTTAAGATTGTCATTCTCTATGCTGACAACACCATATCCAAAGAATACGTTTACACTCCAAGTAAGCTTTTGCTCAAAGATAGCATTTTTTTTTTTTTGGTTTTTTTTTCTGGGTTCCTTTTGTTTTTCCATGTTAATGGGATTGGATTGAATTCTCTCTCAATTGTGTAATTTCACATTCTTTAGTTGGAAAGATTCCTGCAAGCTCTGTACGTGAAGAGAAATTGAAAGTTCTTGACAAGTCAGAGGAAGCAAAGACTGATAAGATTCTCTCCAAATTGGTAGCTTTCTGTGGCAAGGTTTTGATGATCTGCAGTGTAGTTTTCTACATTGATGAAATGCAGTTATTTGGATCTTGTAGAGGTTCCAAACATGAAATGATTTTTTTTTTTTATTTAAATGTGTGATGATCATAGGTCAAAGCTGAAGGCCTCAGGATTGGCAGATATGAAGATTCAAATCATAAAGTCATTTTGAGATTGATAACAATTCTCCACATAACCAAATTAGTCATCGCTTTTTCTTTCTTGAGACCCCCATCATGGTACAGTCTATATTCTAAAGGAATTTTAGTTTGGTGGTTTGTTTTTGTTTTTTTTTTTTTTTAATTTTTGGTAGCTAATCCACAACATTTTGTTATTTAACAGGAAATGGAGGAATGCTGCTAATGCATCATTTTCGCTCTACCACGAAAAACCCGATTTCTGTGAATTGTTTGTGATTTATGAAGGAAAATTGGTTTTCCTAAGAGAAGGAAACAACGAGGCATTACTCATAGAGGATGATCAAGGTATGACAGTCTCAAAGCTGACAGAAAGGCCTAGTTTCAGAGGTTGGATTGTGGGGAAATTGTTCCCAGAAAATGCCCGTGAAAAAAATCCTTGTGAGTCAGCTTCACCAGCAATTAGTACTGCTGCTTCCCTTGATCAGTGGGAAAAGCACAGTGAAGAGCTGGATAAATATTTCAATGAGTTATCATCCACTTCAACTGCAAATGAAGGAGAGATTGAAGCAGCAAATGATACCATGATCAGGTCACAGTCAGAGCTAAAAATGGCTGAGAAAATGGTAATACCTTGATAATATTTACGGAAGTTTGTGGCCTAAATTAGTGTAATCTTTTTCCTTATCTTGCTGCCAACTTTTTGACTTTACTTGCATGTGATGATGATAAGATTTGAACGTTATATGTTTGGTTGCATACGTTGTTGAATGGAAAGTTCAGATGATTTTCTACTATCCCTCTTTGCTTTCCTACTGAGAACACGGAAGTTTCTGGATAATTTTGACTTCAGGGAATTGCAGTCAATCATGTTGAATATGTCAACATTAGTGGAAAAATTTTGCAGGGAGCGGAGGAAAGACTTGACGTTTTGAAAATGAGGATTCGTGATACTAAGGAGAAAATTCAAATGAATAGAGAAGAAGTCAAGGCCAATATAAAAAGATATGCAAAAGCTACATGGGCTATTGGTTTGTGTACTAGCCGGGTAATATTAGTGTTTCCTGTTCTTTGTGATTGTATAGTTTGTATGTTCTTCAGTTTCATTGGCATTGCAGAAATTGAACTTCATTAGGTCACTTTTTCTTTTTATTTTTTATTTTTTTAAGGTTAATGAACTTGAAGCTCAAACTCATGAAGAGACTTCAAAGAGGATGGAATTGCAAAAAGATTTAGACAGAACGAAAGAAGAGCTGTCTGAAATTCACATTGAAGTTGAGGAAAAGAGGAGCAAGCTAGACTCCATCCTCCAACTCCAACGCGAGCTTTCAAACAAGCTCCAGTTATCAAATTCAGCTAAAACCCGAGTCGAGAGCCAACTAGAGAAAGCCGTTAGAGAGAGATCCGAAATGGTCCAGGAAATAGAAGAACTGAGACGACAAAGAGATGTTTACCAGCGTAGAATTGAGTTTTGCAGGGAAAAAGATGCCATTGGGATGGCTAAGAAGTTGAGTAGTAGTAGTAGTAGTAGTAGTAGTAATGGGTTGGGATTTGATTATTCTAGGGAGTTCAGTGCTGCAGAAATTAGAGCGGCTACCGATGATTTTGCACAACGGCTGAGGTTCAAGTCAGGCGGAGATTGGACAAATGTGTATAAAGGCAGGATTAGCAAAACCACAGTTGCAATCAAGCTGTTTGAATCAGTTGATGATGATTTCTGTCAAGAAGCTTTCTTGGAAAAGGTACTGCCTGAATCAACCATATCCAACTTGTTCATCTATATCGAAGTTAATGGAACAGCTGTACAGAACTTGCAGCAACATGCCCTTTTAGGATACTAAATAACCCAGCTGAAATGGTGTGGAAATGCCTTTGCTAAATAATGTTTTGAAGAATTTTTTCTTCAGAGTCAGCGCGGCATTGAAGTTGCCTTGTTCCAATCTTTGAAATACATTTTATCATCCTTTGGATGGTAACCAGAAGTTAGGCTCTATTTTGTTCAACTGTTGAAACATTTTTGTGATGCAGGTGAGGCTGATGGGAAGCATTAGGCATCCTCATGTATTAAGCATGATGGGATTCTGCACAGAGCTAAAATGTATTGTCTTCGAATACATGCACAATGGCTGCTTAAGGGACAGTTTATTTTCTCGCCAAAGAACCACCAGTAAAGGAACAAACCGCGGCCTCAAGTGGCACGACAGAGTCCGCATTGCAGCTGAAGTTTGCACTGCCCTGAGCTTCCTCCACAAGGCTACGCCAGCGCCCTTCACTCATGGCAACCTCAATCCTTCACGAATCCTTCTCGACAAAAACAAAGTCGCGAAACTATATGGCTTCCAGTCTTATGAAAATGCAACAATAATGTCAGATGTTCGCGCTTTTGGGACATTGATCCTACAACTTCTCACTGGAAGGAATTGGGCCGAAATAGGTGAAGACGCGATACTCATGATGGATAGCAGTACATTGAGTGAGAACTTGGATAAAAAGGGCGGACAATGGCCATTGGATGTGGCTGTTGAACTTGCTGGAATTGCAAGGTGTTGTTTGTCATCATCGGATGAAATCGAACACAGTGAAGTTAGCAGCAGATCTGTGATGAGATGGGTTAATAAAGTGAGGAAAAAAGCAGACGATCTCAGAGCTGATGGAGAAAGTCTTGTGGAAGAAGGAGAAACAAATATAGAAGAAGAACACAACGTTCCTAGTGTTTTCTTTTGCCCCATATATCAGGTGAGTTCATCCATTTCTTCATTTGAGTACGTACTTGTGCAATGAAACAAAAACGTTTCTCATTTCCGACAATTTTGAAAAGCTTTTTGCATTTTGGGATTTCTTTCCCGTACCTTTCCACTCAAAAAAAAGAAAAAAAAAATCAAAGTAAAAGGCTGTCCATGCGCTTTTGTAGGAGGTGATGAAGAATCCGTATATAGCAGCAGATGGATTTTCTTATGAGCTGGAAGCGATAGAGGAATGGCTAAGTACAGGTCGGGATACATCTCCCATGACAAACTTAAAGCTGAAGCACAAGCAACTCACCCCTAATCATACCCTTCGTTCTATGATAGAAGATTGGCGCACTAAGAAAGATGCAAAAGCTATTGATCCCTGCTAAACAATCATTGAGGAAAAACTGAGCAAATTCTTGTAGCCATTGCGACTCTCTTCATTGAGCTAAACTCTTCCGCATACTATATTGCTAGCTAGTTTCCATACAATTTTCATACAATACACACCGTTTGCAGCTGTACTGAACTTGATAGTTTATGAGATTAACTGCTGATTTACTTCTTACAAAGGAGAAGGAGAGGAAAATCCTCATAAGAAGTCCAAGTGATCCTAAACATGCTAGGATTAGTCTTCTTAATTAGCAGCGATGTCAAGTTCATTGTCTTCTTGCAAAGATTGTCCAACTAACCAAATGTCTAAGCCCTACGAAAAAAAATGACCTTTAGTGACTAATTTTTTTGAGACCAAGTGAAAACCGGTCACCAATTTTAGTCTTTTGTGACTAACTTTTTAACTTGGTCACGAAACTTTGGTCAACAGGTGAATTTTGTGACCAAGAAAAGAAATTAGTCATTAATTTTATCTCTAACTAGTGGCGGCAATCAAAAATTAAAAAAAATGGTGACCGATTTGTTGACCAATGATAGCCTTGGTCTCCAAATTTTTGTGTTGGTGACCGGGAATTTGGTCAACAAATTTAGTGACGGCCATTATGGGTCATTATTTTGACCCGAATATTTTGTTGGTCATTAGTTTTAGGCGGTAGATTTCCCGCCAAAGTTTGGTGACCATTGGAATGTTGTTCACTAAATTTCTAGCAAAAAAAATCAATTTTATTTTTAAAATTATTTATTTGACTAATATTTGTTAGCATGTTTTCATTTTTTGCGACTAATGTATCTACTTCAAACATTAAATTATCAAAACTATTATTTATTGTCCTATATTTCCCTCTTTCTATGATTAACACACACACACATATAAAGTTAGTACATAGCGACTGGTTACTGAAATAGGTGGCAGGACACTTTCTCGACTAAGTCTTGATGTTTATCTTTTCTGTATTCATCAAGATTAATATTTTATTCGTCAATAAATTATTTTTATAGATGACCCGTATATCTTCATTATTTATCGACTTTATGATGAGATAATTCATAAAAAATTTCATCTTTTTACGATCTTAGGTGAAATGAAATTGGGGGTTTTTTTTTTTTGTATCCAATTAAAAAATTTAATGCATATATCACTAGGATATGTCTACATAATAAGAAAAATGTAACTTTTTTAAAAAAACAAGAATAAGTTTCTACAACAGATTTTAATATTTCTATCTTAACCTCTTAGTTAGTGAAATGGAATAAAAGAAATTAATTTAGTGCAAGAAACTCAATTTTTGGCTTTTTGTAACGAAATTGAAAAAAAAAATGGAAAAAATGAAATATAAAAGTCAACTCAATTAAATAAAAGTAAAACAAATGTCATGAAATTAATACCTTCTACTAGATGCTTGGCCCGGACAGATGCCCTCGCCCCCTCTAAATTACTATTTTATTAAAATCTAATTGAATTACTATTTTTTGAGGAATTAATTTGGCGTATATATCCTTTATGCTATGGTTTGGGGCTTAAAAAAATATACCTATAAATCTGAGGTTATAAGGGAATAATAAAATAATTAGTTTATAAGGCATTATTCTTAATTGCTGGATTTAGGTATTTTTATTTTTTGTTTATATTAAGCCTGCAAAACTATACGATTGGACATTTGATTTGAATTAATATATGCATTCGTTTGAAATGTAACTGATCCTTATTTGTAGTAAAACATGTGTTTTTTTTTTTAAAAAAAAAATTACATAGCTTTTAATTAAAAGAGACTTACACGTGGCAAAAAGACTTCTGAAATATAGTGCATTGGAGCCAAAACAGATATATACGTAGTTACCACATAAGATTCATATCTTCTGCTTTAATAAGGTAAAAGGGATACGTAGTTGGGTTGATCAAGTATTTTTCTTTTTAAGGTTTATTTAGTGGTCAAACACAATAATATTTCTTTTTGTTACAAATTTCATTGGGTTGGTAGTGGATCAAAGATTTTGGGCTTAATAAAATTGACTTATCAAAGTAAAACAAATGTCATAAAATTAACCCCTACAATGTGTAGTTGGGCTAATCAAGAATTTTTCTTTAAAGTTTATTTAGTAGTCCAAATTCAATAATAAAGTTACAAATATAATTGGGCTGGTAGTGGATCAAAGATTTTGGGCCTGAAGTAAACATTGGGTTTTTTTAAAGCCTAATCCAATAAAATATGAGTACATGACAAATGACATAGGCATCAAAATTTTGAGTAATGTTATTAAGGCACCCTAATATTTATGATTTGACCCCATATACCATAACCTTTAAAATGATCGCTACTTTTTATTTTAGGCTTTAACACATATAGATATAAAAATTGAATACAGTCAATGTAAGTAGTGAAATATTTAAGGAAATAAGTGATATGTTGATAGTCATGAGTATGCACAATAACTGTTAATTTAATATTCTTTTTATAATATCCAAACACAAAATAATAACTAATTTTTTTGCTTATTGCGAACTACAATTAGGAGTAAATCATTCTTTCTATTTTGGAAACAGTAAGAGGTATCATTATAAACAAGTCTTGTGTAATAGATTAATGGACAATGAATATATTTTAGTTGGGTTACATAGAAACGAAAAGTAGATTTCCTTCCAGGTGATCCAATTATAACTTAACAATGTATCTAATTGGTTATCGTACATTTGTTGACCAGATTAAATACAACTTGATTCAAGTCTCGTATAACAAGACAAAAAAAAGGAGAAAGAAAATTATAGATGGACAATTGTTTTGTAACAAATAGAGTGATTTAGTTAGTCTATATGTCAGTAATGTAGATTAATCATTCATGGAGACAAATTAATTAAACTAAAAATGTAACATACATGTTAATATTGGTGGCTAAGGTTAAGTTTAATTAATAATTTACATTATGCTCGTTTTTTACTGAATTTAGTAATTACAAATTTCTTTTTGAGTCATATTTGACTTCACATGGTCAATTTATATACATTTGTTGTGTTACAATAATTTTTAAAAGCACTTGCAAGTCATCATTTCGACATAATATGAAAGTAAAAAGCATTTTACATTAGTCTCTCAAATTTGTGAGATTTGATCTTTTTTTTTAAAAAAAAAAACATAGTCTATTGCAACTGTACAATAAATTATTTTATTTTTCTTAAATATTAATATGAAGAAATAAGTGAATTACGATAACTACAAGAATAATTTTGAAATACTTAAAAATTGTGACTTATAATGGAGGCTTTGAAATCATAAAAAAATTATTTTAAGATTAAATTAATACACTGGATTAATCAATTTTGTGGGATGCAATTCATTTTGGCCAAAACAACTAGGAGGGAAATTATCCAGCCCAAGGAGATGGTCATCGCCGCCAGGATCAAGGAGGTTGCCGGCGCGAGTTCGCTTTGTTCTTAGCTTGGTTGCCAAAAGGATGAGCAGCCCCAGCCCCAGCCCCAGTCTTCTGCATCGTAGTCCCGCTTGATATTTGCTGTTTCTTTATATATATACTAGAGGAAGGGGGGGTTGCACGTTGTGCAGCTTAAGGGGGTGATAGCCCAGTATTTTTCTCATAAGTTATTGTTAAGATGCTAAGATACAATAATTCATAGTTTTTCTCATAAGTTATTATTAAGATGATAAGATACATAATTCGTAGAAACTACAATTCTGCAGTTACAATAACAGTATTTGTTCATTCAATGCTTGGTATAGATAGGTTCTCTTTTGTTTCAGTTGATTGAAATCAATTGAGCTTGACTTTAACCAGGTTCTCCCTTAATCTTTCATTCATCTAATTTTGTAAAATTCAACACCATTAGAAGCCAGAGTATTTCTAGTAAACTTTCCCATGTCTTGTCAACCCCTTTGATCATAATCACAGTAAAATTTCAATAGCCGACACAATTGAACTCTTGGTCATGTTAATTCCTACCAGAATATTGGCTTCAATGGAGTAAATATAATTTGCTTGTGGTGGAGTGGTAATCCTATCAATCCTTCCCAATCCGAGGTCATGAACTAAAACCTAGCACTCAAAACCTGAACAATGGTGGAGTTTGAGCTGAAATATATGTTGTCATGGGAATATGCCACGTGTCCTTGACCGATCGAGAACGGTACACAAACTGGTGCTGACTCGATGAACCGCACCTTTATATTACTTAGATATATATATATATATATATATATTAAATGACATGGACACATGTCATTTAATAATTGATCATTCATTAAATAGTTAAAAGTATATAGTTAAAGAGTTAAATGCAAAGTTACTTTTTAATCCTTTTTTACTTGGTATATTAAATTAAATATGGAGAACATAAATATATTTAGTAAAATTTTATTTTATCTACACATTTGAAATTCAAAATAGCCTTGATTTGATGGATAATATTCCAAAATAAAAAAATGTAATTGATTTGATATCATAATCTACATTTAATCACTCACCTGCTATAATTAGAATTCTTATAACAAAAGACATAAAGCCATAAACGAGATAATAGGTCTTATAGTCGTATAAAATTTTCATCAATTTTTTTTTTGGTCTTAATCTTATTTTTATTTTTATTTTTTTCCCAATATGATTGTTATTGCTTGTGAATAACCTCTGGTTAAAATTTATTTTTAACCTGATGATGTTGATATTTTTCACTGAAATGCAGAAATGTGTTGGATCTTTTTATAACATCTTGCTTTTGAAAAAAATTTGTGGCATATTTAATTTATTTTCACTGAACACATTTGAACAACTTTGTTCACATTCTTTTAGTTTTTAGTGTTTTAATTAATTTTAGATTACCAGTGTTTGAGTTTGTGGCTTAATTTCTTAGGTCCTAGGTGGAAAATTGAGATACTTAAAAAGAGTTGTGACTATATATTTAATCTACATATTTTGATCATTCTTATGGTTAAAGAGTTAATTTAAAATTGAGTTTATTATTTGTTAGAAGTCAACTAACATATTGATTAACTTTTTTGGTTTCTGCTACCACCAATCCTTTCATTTTTTGTGGTAACCGTTAGATGAGTTTTATTTGACGTAAGATTTGACTAGAAACTTATTGCTGATTCAATCCATGAGATTGAAACACTGGTACCAGCTGAAAATTTTTAATTCTCTTCGTTTCCAATAAATATTTGTAGGTGTAATTTCTTTTGAAAGGTAGACATGAACTTTTGCGTTCTTTAGATCAAAATTTTTTTTTTTTACCATTTTATTTTAAACACATCTGAATGAAAACGATTTGTTAAACTTTAGCAATGATTTTGATTCCGTTTTACTTGAGATTTTTCATATAAAATTACATCATCAATAATGTTCATGACCATCTATACTTAACCTTTCATGGAGACTTATATCATTTAAATTTTAATGCATTAATATCTAAAACTCACCGTGCAACGCACGGGAATAATACTGGTTACAACTCAAACTAGGTTTTGGAGGCACTCTACGTTTCCCAAAATTAAAATGTTTTTTAATTAAATAATTGTATAAATCACAAATATTTAATACATCGTTTATCACAAAATTATTATTCAATTGGATAATAATTTCGTGATACAGGAAATAATTATTAAAATACTCTAAAACACCTAATAAAATCCGACAAGGCCGAAAAACAATAATAGGAAATCCTAAAATTAAAAACCAATCAAAATGAAAATTAGCGAAAATAGGTAAATTTGTCGCCAGGCTTGGCGTTCACTTAGAAAGGTCGATGGGTAGGTCGACAGATCCGTTCTGAATTTTTCTTTCAATTTTTATTTTGGAATTCAATTTTCCATAATTTTTGACACCAACATTGAAATAATTGCACCAAATAATCACGTGACCAAAATAAATATAATAATAATTATCATGATTAGAAAAGACCTTCAACAGCTTATTTATGATCATATCAATATAAGTATCCTGGGATGACTGCCTCGTTCTGAATTCCAGAATGCTTCTCCTTTAAAATTGATAGCAATGAGTTTTTTTTCTTTTTTCTTCTTTTATATACCAGGTAGCTTAGGCTATTATATTTGTGAGAGATCTACAGGGGAAGGGGATAGCAATGAGAGTTGAAATGGAGGAAGAGGTATATTCTATCATCTCTTTCAGAGAACAAAAAGAAAAAAGAAAGTGGGTGTCAAATTTTATAAGAAATGGCAATTTTCTTGCTGCACATTAATGAACCACTTAAATATCACTTGAAGGAATAATCAATCTTTTCTCCTATAACTAACAACAAATACGATGCCATCAGTCACTCTTTAATCTACAATAGCACACTGTATATTAAATAAAACCCAAAATTTGTGTATCTATCTTCTGTATATCTCTGCACTATTTCAATATTATACTAGGCAGAATCTTATATTATGGGTCCTTCTAAGTCTCTACGTCGGTGCAAAGAACATCCCAGACATTTTACCCAGCTGCAAATCCCTGCAATCTTACTTGGTGGAGAATACTGTGAAATTGAGGAAGCATCAGCCATTATGTCTTCAGATTTAGACCATAGGTATACCCCTCGCTCTTGCCGGCTCCCCGGGACAGTATTGTCCAATACAAGAGCCACCAGAAGAGTTACCACCATATTTAACGACAGAAGACCATTCAGTGCAAAATCAAGCTGAAAGAAATTCACAAATAAGAATATCAGGCTTCACTCTAATATAATATCAGAGGAAGAAAATTTAAAGCATTGAACTTCACAGCGAAAGAAGAAAGAGGAGGAAAAATGATACTAACATCTCTACTACCAGTGTGAACTGGCCCGTCAGATGCAGCTGCAAAGGGAATAAGATATCCTGGTAGTATCAAGCTAGATTGTGATGGATACTGCTGAACATAAGCTGGAATGGACAATCCAAGGAACAGGGAAGCACCGACTATCATAATATTCCGGAAATCAGATGTCCGAGTGTATCGCAGAGCCGAAAGGCCTAATGCTACCATAAGAGCCCATATGAAGCACAGTAAAGCAGCTGCCAAAGCCTGGGGTATAGAAGCAAGAATGGCTCCCACTTTCCCTGAAGAGTAAATTGAATAAAATGAATGAGGCACATAGATTCAGAGAAATATGATCGAGAAGATAAGTGCACCGACAAGAAGAAAGCATTTCCCCAAAATATAGTCAAGATTCCCAGAAGTAAATAAGAAGAAAAATCCATGCCAAATCAGAGTATTGATTGAAGTAAAAAACTTTACTTCTGTTGGACTGTGCACAAAGCATGGATATCATATAATTTCTTTTGCGATATTGTGAGGCATCATTTTGCATCAAAAGGATGCCTCCTCAAAGCTAAAGTACTTGGGAGAAAAGGTTCATCGTATCATCAACTACTGCAGATTAATACGATCCAGTGTGCAGTTTAAGACTTGAATATGGATGAAAAAGTTGAGTTATATACCTATGAAAGAGAAGAGGATCATGAAAAGTGCTCCAAACTGTACCGCCCTCCTGTTAGCTACCTTTGTTACAGCAATGGTGTGAACATTTTCAGTCAAGGTGGTAGATCCAGTGCCGGAGCCCCAAAGCCCAGCCAGCAAGCTACAGAACCCTTCCATACCAATTCCTCTACTGACAATACTGGGTGTTGGAGGCCTCAGACTAGTTACTATAGCAGCAGAGTGATATGTCCCAACCTGCAGATTCATGAGCATAACGGTTAGCCAAAGACTGCATCTTTTTCCTCTTTCTGATTTGAGTTTGTGAGTTAGCCAGTTAACTGTTTCCAATTTCAGATCATACAATTGGAGTTATTTGTTGCAACCTCATTGACTGTTCAGCGGTTGAATGGTTGGAATACAGTGAGAATATAGCAAAGCACTATTGTGATACTGAATTTACAAGTATTACTCACCGAGTCAACTGCTGCAACAAGCGATACAAATATCATAATGACTGAAGTCTTCATGTGGAAGATAGGAATGCCCCACTGCAATGGATAAGGGATCCTCACCCATGCAGCAGTTCTCATGGCATCAGAAACATCCGTTCTGCAGTGTTTCATTGTATATGCATGCCTTCTACAGGCAGCAATAAGCATGTTGGAACTAGGAATGTCTGGGTTACAACCCTTGTAATTATATGCACCACCAGCTGTCAGGAAAAAAGCATATGCCCATGTGATGATAACACTCAGGGGTACCTGCAATTATATGAGAAAAGAACCCTTTTCAAGAAGTGAACTGCTGATATTCTAATTAGACTCAGAAAAGGGACGACCTTTTAACACGAACTCAGGGTAATGGTTTGATGTTCTTCATTAATAGCTAATTTTCTTGTTAGAGCATTTCAAGTTTTTATTTACATTCCAAAAGAAAGCATACCGCATACGTCCGAAACACCTTATTTCCAGAAATTGATACTCCTCGAAGGTACTGCAAAAAATGTCACGAAAATCAGATAAATACTGAAGGATAAACCCTACCATTCTTAAATACTGAAGCACCACAGCTACTCTAAATCACACGTGCCCTTCGGAATGAAAGTTTGATCATAGATGAAGTTTGCTTGGGAAGTACTGTACCAATGTAAATAGAAGCACTAATGCTATCTGAGGAAGACTGATTTCCACACAAGTACCGGCTTGAGGAAAGCCATAGCTGAAAAATGCTAAGCCCACTGCAGCAACAGTAGGTGCAACAACAACTGGGTTTATTAGTCTGCAAGAGTTTTAGCATCTAAAATGTCAGACTACTGAGCCTTGTAAACTCCTGAAAGAAGGGAAAAAGTTTAAAATTCTAGTATAATTTGTTGCCTTTCCTTTGAGAAGCCGACATGGTACTGTAAAATGACTATTTATTGAAGGTATTTGGAAACAGTGATCATATAGCTGATAACGTCTCAGCTTCAGAAGTACCTTAGATTTACCTCAAAAGTAAAGACATCAGGCCACTAAACCCCAAGATGCTCTGGAAAATGGAACCGACAATTATGGCCCCCTGTAGTTCTCTCATTATGTGCTTGAATCTCTGCCGGCAAAGAAACAAATCATTTTATAATCCATACTTGCAGCAGAACGTGGTGCAATGTAAAGTTGAAAGCCCAAAATTTAATGGGTACTGGCACTTACATTTTCAGAAAGATTTCGATATTCTCGAGAATTCATAATGACTAGTGCAGGTGCAAGAAAAACGAATGAACTCCCTTGAACCAGTGGAAGTCGAGTGCCAAAAAAGGAGTTCAGTACTGTGGAAATCCCAGATACAAGTAGCATCGTGGAAATTACAGTAGCGGTATCCTTCTGCAACAGTTCAACATACAAGGAAAAGAATTCAATGCCATGCATAGATCACAGCTCTTAATTGATGAGTTGAAAGGACTGAATGAGAGAGAAGAACAGAAAATCTTACATCAGATCCACCCATTTCAGGGACTATAATCAATGGAATGAATACAAGCGAACCAGCCAATGACAAAAAGTGTTGAAGCCCATAGTATATTTGTGGTACTGCGAATTAAGGGTGAAATGAATGATCACATTAGACTAGCTAAGAGTTCCATAAAGTTCACAAAACTGAAAAGAAAGGTCACAGATAATTAGCAATAATATCTCACTGACAATTGACCCTGTCACAGAAATTCCAACCAGATTGACCTTTCAAGCTTCTGTAAACAGATTCCAATGAAAGTCATAATGGACCGTGATAAAAATACCAACTGAATGACACAATCTTTCCTTTAAAACTCTCAGTCAAGCATGCCACTGTTGGTTAAATTTCATATTCAACAAAAATGCAATTACGAACTTGGAATCTAGTAAGTGCTATTGAGTTTTGAAAAAGTTGTAGATTTCCACCTCTATCAAAATACAAAATGAAGTGTAAAGCAAAGGATAATGTCCTTTTAAATTGTAGTCAAAAGACTAAATGAAAATAATCTCACCAACTTCCTCTAAGTAAGATAGACATTACACCAAACCTTTTCTAAACTTAGCGACAGTTTTAACAATTTTCTCCCAATATAGACTATGAAGATAAATCATGCTTCACAAGAATATTATAACAGGCCACTGCAAGTTGCATAGAAAACGATATTCAATTCAAGCAGATGTCCTGAGCTAATTAAACTCAAAACCTGGAAAAAGTATCAAAGCCAATCATAATAATTGGAACTGATTATTCTCATCCGTAGCAAAAGCATACTCACCAAAACCTGGATTTTCCTCCATCCCACATTTTAATTTCGGTGATTGATGCCATCCTCCATAACCTCGCTCTTCCTCATCATCAGGAATAGAAGGGATTCCCACTTCTTCCTCTCCATCATCTCCACTGTCTTTCTTCAGCTCTCCAACTTGGGCTGCTGCCTGAACTCCATGGCCATTCCCAGTCCCACTCTCATTCCCATTCCCACTATTTGCGTGGGCAATTCCAGCATCACTGTAAGTTTCTCTCCTTTCAACATTTTGGAGTTCAAAACCAACTCGATTTCTCTGATTCTCACCCCTTAATACTCCATCTCTCAACCCTAGAACCCCATCAGTTGCCTTCTGATCCTTTCCATTTCCAAATCCCAAATCTTGCTCTATTTCGTTTCCTCTTCTATTCCACGTCCTGCCTAAAATAGGATCAAGCTCAATTGTGGGTGATAGAGACTCCTTTTTCTCAATACCCTTCTCCAAATCCAACTTTCCAGGCTCATTTTGAGGATTCCTCCCGCTTACACTTCCCCTATCGGTCTCCCCGGAAAATGTGGACACAAAACCAGTATTTCTAGCCCAGGATCCCAGCTCCCTTGGGTCATAAAAATTCTTCCTGGGCTTAAAAGGTTCAATCTTTGGCAAAACTGACCCCAACTTCATCCCCTTTTGTTTTCCCGCCTTCCCTCCAGTTTCTGAGCTCGGCCCACTCTCCATTTTAGATATTCGTGAAGAATTCTTCAGTTCAAAGCTGGAAAAACTGGCAGAAAAATTCTAGACTACATTTAATCCCGGAAGAAACTTCCAGGAGATACTGAGTGAAGAAACAAAAGAGAAAGAAAGAAGGGAAGCCTGTATGTATTTAGCGGCTTAGGGGTAGTTTTCTTGATGGATTGTTAAAACTGGGAAGAAGTTTGGGAGCTGAGCTGACAAGAAAGAGCTGGAGACTTGAAAATGAATCAGTTCGGAAAGCGGTTTCTTCTTCTTTCTAAATTCTAATCGGTTGTTTGTTTCCTTTTTTCTTTTGCTGTCGTCCTCTTTACCGCTCTCTTCTGTAGCTGTTGAAAGTTTTGGACTTTACACACATCTATTTTATCTTGAGATTACCGAAATACCCTTCTGCAACGGTTCTATTTCTCATGTTGACTTAATTTGACTCGAAAATGAAATAAAATACTCCCTCCGTCCCATAATTATTGTCCACTTTACCTAAAAAATTTTGTCCCAAAATTATTGTCCAATTTGACCTTTTATGAATCAAGTTACACATTTGTCCTTAGTAAAAAACATTATCCATAAAATCTTCATGGTTAAACAATTACTTATGTAGGAGTATATCCGATTATTCAAGGTAAAATATAGTTAAGTTTGACTAAAAATAAAATTTTTCATTTTAGTAAAACTGGACAATAATTATGGGACAGAGAGAGTACTATTTACCTAATATTGTTAACGGAAAAATATTGATAACCGTAGACGAAAAGAAAAAACATATACAGTATTAATAACCAAAAAAAAAAAATTTGATAATAATAGATAGGGAATCAGTGATTACAACTAGGTGTGCAGCTTGATAAGGAGTGGATGTTGTTATTAGTCTACTCTATTGGGTGAATTTTCTTGAATACTCTGTTGTCATTAGCCTAGGGAGTAGAGAGAAGAGATAATAACATGTGCTTTGTTGGTTCTCTTTTGGAAACCTTTACTTAAAATTTAAGCTTTTCAATTGTGAGAGTCATCGCTAAAAACGATGTGCTTGAACAACCTGATGATGGTAAATGAAGAAGATTTTATTGCCTGATATTCATGACCATATGAGGTGGAAAGTATACATATACTAGTTAAATAATTTTTAGAAAGACTGAGAGATTAGTGGAGGTAATCTTTTCAATTAGTTAATGATTTTTGTTGCTTTTTCTCTGAACTGATGATAGACATCCATCCAGTTAGGAAAAGACCCTGTAATCTTCAATCATTATAGTTTGAATTTGATTGATCCAAATTAGTGGTACATGAGAAAGATTAAACTCGAGGATAGAGATTAAATACTACTTAACTTGGATGCATTCGTACTAAAACTAAAAAAATCCAAACCGGACAATAATTTCATGACAGAAAAAATACTAAAAAATTTCCAAAGGCACTAAGATGGAATTTTTTATTTTTATTTTTTTGAAAAAATGCTAAGGTGTAGTTGACATTGCTACATTCTCCCGAATTATGAACACATCATTTTACGAGAGATGCTCGTATTTGGTGGATTCTTTTTCAGGTGCCCACAATCTGGTTTTGCTTCATCTTGTTACTACTGGGAGGAGGATACATACCATAATGCCAAAAAATTTGAACAGTGGGAAAATAAAAGTCCCCCATAAGCCTCTCTCTCCAATGTCTCTATATCAAAAGCCCCCAAAAGCCTCACTTTCTTAATTTGGCTGGAACCATTGGGTTTTGATTTCCTCAAGGGTCTCACACTGCTCAGACACACATCATCTCCCTGAGGCACTCAGCTGGAGGAATTTGGTCTGAATTGATTGGCGGAATCAAAATAAAACCGACACTCAGAGCTTAACTATCCATTCGCCCAAAAAATTGACTTAGAAAAACAAAATAATCTTATTAACCAACTGATTGAGACTTGTTCTACGTATGCGGTATGCTAATCTTTTTAAGCAAACACAGAACTTGAAAAGGAAATGATTGAGCCCCAAGCCTAAGCAGCTGTCTAATAGGTATCCCATTGAAGCAATGAGTCTATGCACATTCACGCGTCTTCAAACAACACCATGTATAACTACACTATACACCTATTCCATTAGCCCATCCATATTTCGCAAGCATTAAGCCAACTTCTTCCAACAAAGAGATTTTTAGATTAGACATTTGATGAGTCTGCTGAACCAATAAAAAATCTTTAACATCTGCTTCTCTCTCTGCAAGTGATAACTGGAAATACCTCAAGCAGAGCTACAGACACAAAAACTATTGACGACTTCTAGGTCGTCTAGCCCGTCTAACCAGTGGTAAACGGAGAAAATCCAAACTTCAATCTGGACTCTTAAATATGTTAAAGCCAGACCAAAATCCCCAAAGGAACAACAATCTAAAAAAAAAAAAGAAGACAATGCATTAATGAAGGTATTTGGTCACTGCAGTTAAAGAATCGATATAAAAGTGATTTATCAAAACACCTATGAGCTTACCTGATAGTTTAGCCAGAAACCCCTAAACAAAACTGCAATATTTCACAGCTACCACATGAAACCAAGCAAAATATATTACAAGATGCAAAAGCCATGAAATGCTCATGAGCTACGTGTTATAACAATAATCTCAACGCACTGCCTGCAAATATTAAATCCATGCTCTAAGATATTCCCGTGAACAAATAACAGGACTGTCCAAACAAACATTCTGAAAAGTACATATTTGGCTGCAATGCTACTAGCGTTAGGAGTTATTTTCACCACGAGACACTGCTACGGATGTGAATGGCCATGACAATTGCCGTGTCGGCTATGGTATGTCTGCAAGATGAAATCCAGAAAATTGTACAACCCAACTGTAGAAACATGGGCTTGTGATGTCAGGTGCAACGTGTACTCAGTCAAAGGAGCTACCCCCTACACATGCATAACCTCACCAACAGTAACCGCACACCTAAGTTTCAGTTTAAATCAATGGGAAGTCACTTATTCGACTACTCTCTAATACAATATCAACAGCCGCGACCATGAGTGACTGCAAGGATAACAGCGCTTCTTGCATGAAAGAATTTGCCTGGTACTGTTTCCAATTTCCAAACAATAGCATCTCAATGGCTTCAAGCTTTAACAATCATTATAACATTCATGAAAACAACACTTTGAAGATTACAAGTCCTTGTAATTTTTTTTTAATCAGGACTCCTACTGAAGCACCATGCCCCTGAATCCAAGAAACCAGCTTAAAGGCTTTATTACAAGCTGGCATGGGAATTTTTATTATATTTCCAACAAGCTGCTCATGTTAAACAACAAAATGAGGAACAGTGACAGTATATCAATTCAACAACCAAAAATCAGCTGACCCTATCTATCCACATACTTGATACTTATATGTTCAATCACCCAATACAAAAATGGAGCCTACACATGGGGCCAAAGCATAAATTCGAGACAAGGTTCCCCGAGTTAGTTAGCTGGAATTATACAAACGTATAGAGTTCATAAAGATGAAGCAAGACCAATCGTATACACATAAAAATGGAACGGCCAAACGCTAGCAAATACCAAAAAGGATACAAGGTAGTGAAGGCACCAATCTCATTTCAACATAAAGATGTAAGGAAAGAAAAAAAAATGAAAACACCAACATCTATGTTCATTTGAATCAAAGAGCAATCAATCATCACAAAATCTCGCATAAGAAAAGATGAAATCCGTAAATTTAACTGTACATCGACAATAACACACAGTAATTGCTTTCCCCAGTGCACATTAGCATATTAAACCTAGACATTCCAACTCCCCACCAGTGTTGATTATTCATAGCATGCCCTTTACCATTATGATCATAATTTTCCAGGGAATGGATTATACAGCTGCAACTTGGGAATAAAGGCGATAAAGCTGATCTTGGTGCTCCCCGTAACGGCGTTTGAGGTAAGTCTCGAGGATTTCCATGACGGAAACTAACCGCCTCATCTCTTCAAGCCGGCGGATCAGCTCAGCTTCTCTTGCCCTAGCTCGCTCCAGCCGAGCTTCAGTCTCAGCTAGCCGATTGAAAATGCCATCGATCAGCACAACGGTGTCGTTCACCGGAGGAGGTTCCGGTACGGTCGGAGTTGTGAAACTGAAATCCTCCCTTGACGGTAATCGTTCGCCGCCGTAACACATCTCCACCGGCAGTCGGCAGATATCAATTCAGTTAATTGGTATCTTCCGGTCGGGGTTTGGGTCGATTTAGCGCCGGTGAGAGAACTGAACGGAGGTCGGCGGACTCTGGGGGTTGGTGACTTGTAATTTCGATACAGTTTATGACTTTATGTCATTCTCTCTGCCTCTCTGGAGTCTGGAATACTTATCCCCTCAAATCACTCCCCTCGGCAAAATTGCTTGCTTCCCTCCTTTGAATTTTTTATGTCATCAGTTTCATCTATAATACCTTTTCATTTGAAAAATAAAAATATAAAAAAATATTTTCCAGTAAATAATTTGGAGAACATAGACCACAAATAAATGAAATTTGGGAGAAATTAAAATGTATAATAATAAGAATAGGTGAGAATATTAGATAAAATCCTTTACAAAATAAAAAAGAATAGAAAAGTAAAAAATAATAATAATAATCAGGGCACCTTTTTAGAGGCAAATAAAATATGTGTAGAAGGAAAATTAACTCATAAACAGGAACGTAAAAATAAATGAGGAGCTAATGAAAGAGAGATTCCATATATCCTACTAATATTTTGTTTCAACAAATTACTTCCTTTGTACTTAAAAAAGAAAAAAAGTTCGGCTTGTTAATTAAAAAAAATATGAATTTATTTTGGTATTCCAAATTATATGAATTCTAAAAATATTGAAATTTTTGTATGATACTATAATAAATTGCACTATAAGAGTGATGATAGTTTTAGCATGTGTCTAAGATTATTTATTGGACTAATATTTTGCATTCTATGGTAGATATTTGCCATTATTTCCTCAGATACTTGTGTAATACCTTTAGTTTCATTATTATCTCATTTTGTTTTAATGGAACGTTTGAACCTTTTTTTTTTTTTTTTTTGTAAAATGTAAGTAATAAAGTGATCATGCTGTCACAACTTATTGATATGGTTTTGAGACAAAATAGTATATTTTTTTAAATATTAATACTAAAGTAGTTACAAAATACAAATGCATTGGCAAAATTATCAAGCAAAAAAAAAAAATCTTTTCATCCCTAATGATTCTCTCATTTGGATTTTAATTTTCTGTTTAAAAATTGTATTAAAAGTAAAAAATTCAAATGAGACAATTTTTTAGGACAAAAGAAATTGGAGTACCTTATTTTTGAAATGATAGTAATTAATAGAAGGTGTACTACTAATTTTGAAATGATAGTAATAAATTAAGGATACTCATTACAGAAAGCCAGTAAAACTGTAATCTAATCTAATGTAATCTACTAATCCGCACCGATGAGAAATAAACCCACCCATCGTTGATCCGACCCGCCAACACTTTCCGGTCGTCAATATTGGGTCGGCCGTCCCTCTCATACGCAGAGTAGTTCACAGTATACGCACAAATGGCTCTGCTGGGTGACGACGGAAGAGGTTACGAGTTGGCTCGGAAGCTGGAGAGCTACGGCGTCTGGCGCACGTGGCTCGGCGACTCACTCTATTCCAACTTCGTTCACTTCCTCTCCTCCCCTGCCACGTGGGATGCCTTCATGCGAGCCGACTCCGCCGTTGACTCCGCCGCCGCTAGGGCTCAGCTCCACCTCCAGCTCCGGGCTAGGGCTCTCCTCTTCGATAAAGCCTCGGTCTCGCTTTTCCTCCGATCTAGAATTCCACCGCCGCTGTCCTCTTCATCTCCTTCTCCTTCCTCTATTGCAATTTCGAGACTTAATCCAAATTGTAAGGAAATTCTTGTAGTTCGTTTTGTTCAGTTTGATTTATTTTTAAGGTATTGAGTTTTTTTCCCCTCTTTCTCGGGGTCTCAGATTTGCAGTTGCATGGCGATGACGTGTACTATACCTTGGAAGAAGCTGCACAACGCCCAGACAGTGTTATAGCTGCCCCAAATGCGGCAACCTCTAAGGTCTGAACTTCATCAAGCTTGCTTTTTTCGAAGGCTTGTTACCTCTTCTTGTTTTATTTTTAAATTTAGATTTAATTTTGGTCTCTAAATTAATCTGTGAAAGCACATTCTCTGTGATGGATAGTTCAATCTAATCTTTGGCTGTATGATATAAATCTATATATATTTTTTTATTGGTTAATTGTCTGTAAGGGCCACTGCACAGGTTAACATGGTTTTGTAGTTCTTTGTTGCAATGCCTCGTCTTATATTGACATTTTGTAAATTCAGACTAAATCTACTTTTGCTGGCGGATCGAGATTTGGTGAATCAGAAACTGGTTCTGTAACGCAGAGGTTCAAGTTTGATGAATTACCGGAAACATGGTATAGTCAGTTTTTTGAAAAATATAGAGCCAGTAAATCCTACAGGCTATCATCTTGGGATCAGGAAACAGAAAAAAGAAATCCTGAACAAATGTTTACATATCTTAGAGTTGCACAGAGGCACAAGAGAAAGAGAGTTATTTTCAAGGAGGATCAGAATACTGGGACAGGCAATCCTATGTTGGAGAATGGATTAAATGCGCAGTCATCATCGGTGGTCGATAACAGTAGTGCACTTGATGATGAAACACCCTTTTTCCCCGAAACCATGTTTACTATGAATTGTGTTCCCGAGAGTGCAGTCTTGCAGAAACGTAGGATGCCACCAAACAAACAAAAAGTGGACTTCAATGGAGTTCTCGATACATTACCTCAACTTGTTTCCAAGAGCCCAAGTCCAATCATGATTGAGAGGCTAGGTATCAGAGCCGAGTACCTCAATATGGATCCCACAGGAAACCAAACTCGTGGTAGGAGTGGGAATGATAGCCGTCAGGGACATATTGGTCAGGAGCAAGCATCACAGTTGGCACAGAAGGTGATAGCTCGTTTCCTATCTAAAGTTGGGTTTGAAGGTTCCTCGGAAGTTCCCTTGGAAGTTTTGTCTCAGTTACTCAGCTGCCATGTGTGCAAATTAGGCCGTACTTTAAAGGTACTTGCAGATAGCTATAGAAAGCAATGCTCTGCAATTGAGTTGTTGAAGATGTTCCTTCACACTTCCGGATATAGGTAAAAATCTGTTTGTTAACATACTTTTAGTGAGTGTTAAATAGCTTTGTTCCTTATGTTAGTGTTCTTGTGATTTCTTTTGGACCTTTCAGCATGGTATAGTTAACCTGAGCAGTTAACATTTGCATTTTGTTCTGATAATAGCAAGAAAGCATACATTTATCTTGAACTAGTGGTAATCTAGAACCTGTTATCATAACTAAAGACTTTAGGGAAGCATGAAATCTAGAATGATTGTCTTTTTTTGGCACAATGAAATCTGAAATTATTTTTTCTTTTTCTGGTATAATGAAATCTTAAATGATTTTAGTTGATCATTAGGGTGGTCAGAACCCTGCTTAGCATCCATATGAAGGCTGTTTTTTAAATAAACGAGAAATTTGATGTCTTTGAAATTCTTCTATCTTAATCATTATATCTTTGCTCTTGTTTTCTTCAGTAATCTTGGTGTTCTATCTGAGCTTGTGAAGGAAACTAGTACCAGGAACATTGTACCACAAGCTCAACAAGTGCAGGCAATGCAGTTACATTTGCAATCGCAACATCAGGGTTCCATTCGGCCATCTCAGCTCCAAGGCCCCATCCCACAACCGCAGCAGGTAATAATGGTGTTAGGAAAAGTGCTTTAAGCCCTACAATTTGGCCTTTTAGGACTGCATGATGCACACATGTAGTGATTTTGATCTTTAGTTATAAAAGTTGGCGTGTGTTTTCCCTGAAATTCTGGCATTTTTTGTTGGGTTGAAGTGCATAATCAGGTAAAATTGTGCTTTATGATTATGCAGATTACAAGGCAAATGCAGCTGCAACTAATGAACTCCCAAAATCTGGCATTTCAGCAGCAGCAGCAAATGGAACGAATTAAAAGACGACAACAACAGATGGCACTTCGTCCGGGTATGAATATGGCTATGGACAAGGACAGACCTATGGTGGAAGTTAAGCTTGAAAATCCATCTGAAATTTCAATGGATAGTAATACTTTTGCCGCAATGGCTGCTAGACATCAACAGCTGCATCAGTTTCGACAGCAGCAGCAGCAGCAGCAGCAGCAGCAACAACAACAACAACAACAACAACAACAACTTGCTGCACTATCATACCATGCTCAAACCAGCAATCAAATTAGACCGATGCCTTCTCATCAAATTCCCTCAGTCCAATCACCGTATGGAACCTTGATTTGGGTCTTTTTTTTAAAAAAAGAAAAATTAGGATAGGAGCTTCTTAAAGAAGTTGCATGATGTCTGACAACATTTGTTTCCATTGCAGGACCATGGGAATGGCTAGGGCTCCTCCGGTCAAGGTGGAAGGCTTCCAAGAATTGATGGGTGGGGATGCTACTCTGAAACACGAGTCAGAAGATAAGCTCACATCTCCTGGGAAATAGTATGAAGTGTACATTGGAGTACAGAAATATACTTCAGCTCAGTTGTATCGATGAAATTCTTTTTTTATTCGTATATCTCAGTGAAGTTTATATGTACAGACGGACCATATTGGTTATAAATTTTAGAAAAATGGTTATTTTATCCTTTCATGTTCTGATTAGCTGTCTGCTGTACGTATCAAACATCAATTTTTTCAATGAGTAACGGGTTATATCCGGAAAAAATGGTGTTCCTACCTAAAATTTATTCCTCGTCGTAAATTTTACTTAATAGATTTTTAGTTAGCTAACTTTACCCTAATATTTGAAATTTTCACCAATTTTGTCCAATCGTGTCATTTTCCGTATTAATAAAATAATCAATTTAATTACACAAACACCTCAATAATTTTTAAAAATATAAAAATAACCCCTGAATTATATAAAAATAACAAAATAGTCTATTTTTAATTTTTCATTTTATTTTTCTCTATTTCATTCTATTTCTCTTTAATACTTTTAATGACCATAAAATTATATTATATGATCTTTAAAAAAATATTTATTTATTTTCATACTCTACCGTAAAAATTAATCTTTATATAATTGTAACACATGATTGTATTTGTATAAACATATTAATCTTTTTAATAATATAGTTTAGCAGTAACGATAATATTTTTCTGATTCATGTTATTCTTCCAAATATAAAGATTAAAAACATTTAACTAAAACTAATACAACACATAAAAATAAAATATTTAGCTCAAATTACAAAATAATTTATTAGTATATTTTAGTTGGGTCCACTGGGATGATTTTTTTTTGGAAAAAAAAAGAAAAATATTGTTGTTACTATTAAACTATATTAATTATTAAAAAAATTAATATGTTTATATAAATACAAGACTGAAATCCAAAATTGGTACTTTATATAAGGCGATCTGAACATGTTGGTTCTCTGCATCTACATCTATCTGTTTTGGTCATCTACTTCTACGTTCAATATTTTTTTGGTCCTCTAACACTATTCAGAAAGTTTGCCCGTTTCGGACGTCAGGTCAACAGGGAAATTTTTGTTTTTTACTCTAACATTTATTTTTCAGTAATTAAGAAATAATAATAATAAATTAAAATAAAATTATTTTTGTTCTTTTAATTTAAAAAGTATTTTATTTTAAATTAAAATTAATTTAAAATACTTTTGCTTATTATTTGAAATTAATAACAAAGTATTTTAAAATTAAAATTAATAATAATTTTAAAATACTTTATTACAATTATTTTAAATTATTATTATTAATTAACAAATATAAAATGCCTTATTATTATTAATTTTAAAATAAAATACTTTTAATTTTATGGTCATTAAAAGTATTAAAGAGAAATGGAATGAAATAGAGAAAAATAAAATGAAAATTAAAAATAGAATATTTGTTATTTTTATATAATTTAGGGATTATTTTTATATTTTTAAAATTTTTTTGGAGAGTTTGTGTAATTTAATCAATTATGTTATTAATAAATTAACGGAGATCCGTTAACTTGGACAGGAAATAGCACGATTGGACAAAATTGGGTAAAATTTCAAACATTAGGATAAATAAAGCTAACTGAAAATCTATTAGATAAAATTGATGCCGATGGCAAAGTTTTGGGTAAAAACGCCATTTTTTCCGGTTATATCCTCAAGCTTACAATCGAGCGATCCATGGCTGAGACTTTCTGCCTTAATGAGTTATATATTTGCTATTGACTTCTTATTTTCAAGATGGTCAATTCCTTTGTAATAGATGCCTTACAATAAGCAGTTATCACAATACAGCATTGTGTATTCAATTTTTTCCTAGTCACAAAAGATATCTCTACTGGATACAGAAACAACCTATAACATCTTCAACAATTTCATGGATGGAAATAAATGGTACTGAGGAACAGTGAAACAGATCACTCATTGGATTTATGTCGAAATTCCACCAAATATTCAACTACCTTGTGCAGGTATGCATCATGTAGTTCTCTATTCCCAAAGATTTTTCCCAGTTCTTTAGCCTTTTCTTTAAATTTTTTGCCTTCATCTTCAACCATAACCAACTTCACCGTCTCAGCCACTGAATTACTGGTGTATGACCCATCCTGCTCATTTCTCGGCACTTCCATGCCGGCCTGCTTGTCCTCAATGACCCTAGCATTCATACCTTGGTCTGTCACAAACGGCAGCATAACTAGTGGATGACCAAACATCAATCCTTCTATAAGTGATCCCCAACCACAGTGGGTCAAGAATCCACCAACTGAATCATGGCTCAATATCTTCAACTGTGGTGCCCAATTCTTCCAGACCATCCCCCTTCCCTTCACCCTCTCTTCAAACCCATCAGGTAGCTCAAGCGAGTTGCCGGACTTACCGGATTGAGATGAGTTTCTTAGGACCCAAAAGAATGGCACATTAGACAGCTCCAGTCCCAGAGCCAACTCAGTGATGTCATTTTGAGATGGTGAAACCTCACTCCCTAAGGCCACATACAGAACCGAACTTTGCTTCTGACCATCAAGCCATTGTTTGATTGAGATCCATGGTTCAGTGTTGTCATTGCTGGAATCCCCCATCTGGGGTGGCATTAATCCTCCAGCTATAACTGGGCAATAGTACATCTCATTCAGTAGATTCAACCATTGGCCTTCAAACTCATAGCAGTGCCGGAAGATAATAACATCCGAATTCTTGGATATCATTCCAACACGGTAAGTATCGGATGCCCCTGATTCATTCTCCTTGACAGCTCCCATCACCCAGTGAGCCTCGTGGATTTTAAAAGCCACTTTTGACTCAAATGGAACCCATTTTGGGGGAACTATAAAGTCCTCAACTTTGCACCTTGTGTCAGTACCATTGATTAGCATATCTGTGGGTCCAAAAAACCCATATGTCCAGGCGTTGATGATGCTGAAAAATGCTGTGGAAACACCAAGATTCCGGGCAGCTGGTTGTACCCAGTGTGAGCTGAAGTCGTGAATAAACCAGTCAGGGTGAGCGGACTCCAAGAAACGAATCAACTCGGGTTCAAGGCCATCATGAGCTTTCTTGAGAAGGGACATCTGGAGAGGAGTAGAGATATCCATGGTGGCCTCTGCGTTTTCAGGGAGTCCATCAACTTTATGAAATGGAAGCTTGACAAAGGTTATGGAAGCAGCAAGATGTGATGGGATTTGTGGAAGGCGGTCGATGTTTCTTGGGGTGGATAGGAAGGTGATTGTGTGGCCCTTTTTAGCTATGAACTTGGCAAGTTCCAGGAATGGAATAATATGACCAAAGGCTGACCATGGTAACATGGCTATGTGTAATTTGGACTCCATGGCCATGGATGATGAAATGAACTTTGGAGGTTCAGATGCAGAGAATTCGAGATGTTGTTGTGTTTGTTTTTATCTGTTTTGGTATTTGCTGCTTTGGGTATTATCAGTAATACAATACCAACATGATGATTAATAAAGAGGACCCGCGATGATTGGGATTGTCGTCGTGATTCACGATTCTTCTGCTCTGTTTTTATGTCGACTGGAGCAATCTTTCTTGATGAACGCCCAACGAACATGCTTTATTGGAAATTAAAAATGACAGAAGAGTCATAATACAGCATCTGAAAACGAAAGGAAATCCCTTTTAAAATAAAATTCATCGATGGATAAGATTTTGTTCATTATGGGTGGATCACCAAATTCGATTTTGGTGAAAATTTTGAAGTTAGGCTTCTTATTTCCTTTTCTTTTTGGGTCTTCCATCTATTATTCTCTCTGTTTCAAAATTATTATCCAGTTTAAAAAAATTTTTAGAAATTTTTTCTAAGTTCCTTTTTTCTAAGCCAGTCCCTTTTTTTTTTTTGTGTGTGTGTAAGTTCACAACTTCACTTTAAGTGTACTCGGTGGGGTGAAACAAAAAACATCAAGTTGAGCCGTTTGAACGGCCTCTTACAATCTAAAGTACCAAATTACCAATCTCTTAATTTGTTTAAGGGAGTCCGTATAATCTCGTCCCATGATTACCTCTGAAAATAAAAACTATCTTCTTTGACGAACCAATATCAATAATTCCCAGCTGGATCTTCCCCGCAATGGTGTTTTGCAAACGAAAAACTCATCACGTCAAAAGCGATGTCTCTTCCCGCCCCCCAAAAGTGACAAAAGTACAACGTTGTGTCCCAAATCCCAAAAATTCATACTAAATTCCCTACGGTACGTTTGGTTGACTTTAAGATCATGATATCTAAGATCATCATCTTTCGAGGCACAGTGAATGGTTAACAAAGGGGAGTTATCAGGAAGGCTGTTTGTCACTTGGACTTCATAGGGCTGAAGAGCTGCAAATACATGAAGGAAAAGAAACGAAGAAGTTGATAAGTATAGAACAACAATGATACATTCAGTGAGTAAACACAGTGAAAATATATAGTGACAAATGAAAAGGCAAACATACCATCTACTTGCTTAATATGTTTATTTATTAATCAAGGGTAAAAATATAATTTTCGGAGAAAATGAAACTTCAACGGGAAAGTAGTAAAAAACTAGGGGCCATGATTATTCCACATCAGTCACTATATTTTGTCACTATTTTCATTCACTAAGAGTATCATTTTCCAAGTATAGAAGGATGAAGAAGAGTGAACCGTTTACCATAGCAAAATTCATGGTGGAAAAGTATTTGCGCTTGCTCTAAACTGTCTTTCTAATTTGTGTTTTTCAATACTGCGAGTCAAAAAGCAAATTTTAAATAGATTATGCATTAATTAATACAGTATTCTAACTTGTTTAGACGGTTTTATCTTCCAAATAAAAAAACTTTTTGTCGGATGGACTAGCATATAACATGGTCAAAGGTGACCAATAACCTCTATGAAATTGCACGAAATAAAATCAAGTTGTATTTAACAATAACCATTTTTTCAGATTTCAATATTCAAAATTCTAAGTTCGTTACCACATTGCTCTAAACTGAACAACAAAACCGGAATCATACTTGTAGTAAAAAATTCATTAATGGGGATTCTTAGACAAAAAATCGATGAATCCTTGTGTTAGATATTTACAGAAGAGGCAATTTAAACATTTTGTTCCCCATAACAGCAAAGTTGCCGATCAAATCCAGAAAAAAAAAAAGAAAAAAGAAAAAGAAGAAGCGAAAAAAAAAAAGATTGCATCAAAAGGAAAAACGATCATCCATTTCAAAAAAAAAAAAATTCGGTGATCACCGATCATACCAAAATCAGACATTTATCCAAGAACATTTTTCAAAAAAAAAAATTGACAAAAAAAAAATTAATCTGCCAGAGCCCATAATCTAAAGCTGCCCGATTATACAAAAAAAAAAGTAAAAAATTCACTCAAAAATCACCTCATTTTCTCCTCTTTCACGTGTTTTTCGGTTCTCTGACTTCAAAACCATCAACAATTAGTGAATTTTGTCTGTCTCTTGAAAGAATATATGTGAAGTTATAAAAAGAGATGATCTTAAAAAGGATTTGAGAAGGTTTTTGGTTTAGGGGTATTTTAGTCTATTTTACAAGGTACGCGAAGTAAAATTAAGTCGCATTTAGCAATCCACATTTTATTTGTGAAAGAACAAGGTTAAAACCATACATAAATTAAATATAAACATTCCGTAGATGGAAAATTCTGATAATATTTGTTCCAACTACGGTTTCATCCATGACTTAATAATAAATATGTACCAAAAAAATTATTCACATTGATTTTTAAGTTTTATATAATTTCTAATATTAATTTGAAAATTTTTCTGTGAATTATTATTATTTTTTTTTGAAGAGAGAGGTTACTAGATAAAGATACCGTGTATATTCGTATAGTGTGACACAAAGTTGGATTCTCTTACTAAAATTGGTCACAGTAACCAACTCAATCAGTTTCACTGATGATTTATCTAGTGAATAAATCAATAAAGTTTAATGGGGGAAAGATGTATGCCTGATTATAATTGTTCGTCAGTAGTTTTATTACTTTCATTTTGAGTAGATTGTGCAGTTTCTATACATACATAAATGTTTTTTTTTTGTGAAGAATACATAAATGTGAAATACATATACTTTTAATTTCCCGATGTGATTAGTTATGTCTTGTATGGATGATGGTTTGTTTTAGTTCTTTGTTTGATTTTGAAATGTGATTTCAAATGTATTTTAAGAGAAAATTCAAAAAGTTATTTGTATAGTTTTTACTTTTTAATTAAAGTAATATTTTTTTTTATCTCCACCGACCACCTCTACCACTTACCTCTACCGGTTGCCTGCCGACGGATACATGAGGCGGTCCGGCGGTAGTGGAGGTAGTCCGGTAGTGGTGGACGAAAATTATGTAAAAATAATTTTTGGAATATTTTTTAAAAGGTAAGTTAAAATATTGTTTGAATAGTGTATTGGATTTTGTGTTTAAATGTAAACTGAGACAAAAAGGCAAAATAAGAGTTGGACAATAAGCCCTTATTGTCCTGCTTGATCGTTTCTCTCGATTATGTTAGCTAAGTGGAGTCTCGATTATGTTAACTTCTATTCATGTTACATAATTCAATCTACTTCTAAACCTCACTTTACATGGTCCGTCCCTACTTCTAGAAGTGAAAGTCCAAATTGGACAATAATTTGAGACAGAAGGAGTATTTATTTATTGATTATAAATGCCATTAAATTAGGTAATTCATGAAATTTGAGCAACAACAATTCCACTTGGTGTGAACATATATGTATATGATTGACTATCTGAACTGGTAATATCAAGTTACCCGCTGATGGTTCTTTCCCCTATGATACAACAAGCCAAGTGAAGTTGTAGACATATCATGTGAGAATTGCATGCATAGTTGCAAGCTTTCCCTCCCATATTAATTAGTAGCGTATATTTGTAGATACACAAAATATTTTTTGATAAAGTTCTCCACTCTGGATCCTATATCACGCCAAAAGAGTTAATTATAACTTGACAAAACATACTTTTAAAGAAGTATAAATTATATGCTAAGTTATGTAGTTCTCTAACCTCATTCCTGCCAACTTTAATCAGTTGGCAGGATTCGAAGGTTGAAAATAGAGCTAATAGTAGCGAAACTATCTCTTGTGCCTCAGTCGGTACCAGAGTATTTGGCAGATTAGTCGTCAATCCTTCGCAATTAGTATACACTTTAAAATGTGTAATGCCAAGTCTTGACGCTTCTCGTAGGGCCATGAGACAAGTCATGGCTTCCGTTTGAAAAGGTGAGAGTACCTGCAAAGGGACTGACTAAATTTGCATGACCATAACTAGTGTCAAAGTGATCTTCCACGCCCCAGCTGCAATCCTAGTTTGCGGATGGAAGGAGACATCAAAGAGAATTATTGCATGTGTGGCCCTAGGCCCTTGGATCAGGTTCAAGGGCATATGATTTGAAGTAGAATTTAGAAGTTGATGTGGTCTCAATCTCTGCTGATTTTGCTTGTGTTGCATGAATTCACTTTGAATGAGTCGCCAAGAGAGGACTGGATTAATGGTCTGATTCCGCCATATCTTGTCATTCCTTTCTGACCATATTCTCCAAAAGATGATTAAGAACAAGTCTATATCAGTTGAGGAGGGACGAGACTGTATCCACTGGATGTATCAGTCAAGTAAAGAAACATTCTGACAGTTGAGAATAGTCTGAAATGAGGGATAAGCAAAACTCCAAATAGTCTGAGAAGCCTGACAATTGAAGAAGAAATGTAAACTATCTTCCTCCTGAATACCACAACGGGCACAAGCTGTGTGAACTTCAACCCCTCCTTTGTGCAAGCCCATTTTAGTTAGAAGAGTATTAAGGACAGCCTTCCAGAATAATAGTTTCAGTTTCGGTTGGACTGTAGAATTCCAAAAAACCTTCCAGGCTCTAACTTCTACATTGAGTTGAGGCTGAGTTTGTACTGCGTTCGAGTTGTGCAAATTGATTGCGGTGTGGTAACCTGTTTTCACTGTATAGTTACCATGCTCCGTCTTGGTCCACTGGAGCTTGTCACTTTGCTGGGCTCGTGCATGATCAATGTAAATCCCTGTGATGTGAGGTATGATGTGATTGGGGAAGATTGTTATGACGAAATGGAGTTTCCACTGACCATTAGAGCATATCAGATCTTTAACCCGAAGATTCGAATGCGTAGCCAAAAAAGAATCCCTAGAAATCCGATTGGGATGATTAGGAATCCAGTCATCTGCAATGTTGATGTCTCTACTCGAGATTACCTTCCACTTTACATTTTGATGCAAGAGTTGTGCTCCCCAGAGTATGCTGTTATATGCCCAGGAAGAATTATTTGGAGGTTGTAGTTGAGGGAATGCTCCATTTCCACAATATTTGGCCCCATATAGTTTGGAAATGAGGGAATTTGGGACCGACATGATTTTCCATGTATGCTTGGCTAGCAATGCCTTATTAAACTCCTTTGTGGACTTTAAACCCAATCATCCATGAAACTGGGATCTACTGATCTTCTTCTATGATCTCCAATGTATTCCTCTGTCTGAGTTATCTCCTTTCCAAATAAATTGAGTAACAATACGATCCGCCTTATGCAATGCTGAAGCAGGAAGTTTGAAGACACCCATTGAATATACCAACATGGTTGACAAATTTGACTTTGCGAGAGTTATCCTCCTAGCAAGAGAAAGGAGCTTTGTCTTCCAATTAGCAAATTTATTGCGCAATCTCGAGGTAAAAATTTAGAAAATAAGCTTATTTTTCTCTTTGAAATCCAGTGGCATACCCAAATACTTGCTTTGAAATTACCCCTCAGAGATTTACAAGGTGGTGTGAAGAAAGAATCTCATTTGTGGAGGTGTAGTAGGACTCAGCAGAATGGAGGATTTGAGAAAATTGATCTTTTGACCAGAGAAAGCAGCATATTGTTCTATCAATCCTGCCAGTGCAAGGGCTGAGCTCTCTTTGCATTCAATAAAGAAGAGACTATCATCTGCATACATCAAGTAACTGATTCGTGGAGCATTTCGGCTTATTTTCACTTCCAAACCTGGAAACAATTGGATTTCAGCCCTTATTGCAGAAGATAAAACATGTTGATACAAAATAAATAGGTAAAGTGATAAAGGACAACTCTGTCTAAGTCCTCTGGTAGGGGAGAAGAACGGTAGTCCTTCACCATTAAACTGAATGGAATAGGATACAATTGTAATACAAAACATTATCAGTGCAATGAGCCTGGTTGGAAGTCCGGCTTTTGTGAGAGCTGCTTGAAGAAATGGCCAGGAGACTCTATCATAAGCTTTACTCATATCCAACTTAATTTTGATGCTCATCGATAAGATCATTCATCACATTCTTCAGTTTGTTGGTGATCATTTTTGTAATAATTTTGTACTTGACATTACAAAGACTTATTGGTCTGAAATCACTTGGCATTACCGGGTTGGAGATCTTTGGAATTAGGACAATGTTCGTCTGGTTCCATTCTTGAGGGAATCGTTGTCTGCCGATGGCATCCAAAATGGTTGCTTCCATATCACCACCCACTATGTGCTTGTATTTTTTGTAGAAACTAGCTGGCATTCCATCAGGACCAAGTGACTTCCAGGGTGCCATTTGCTTAATTGCATCCCAAATTTCAGTAACTGTAAAAGGTTGAGCCAAAAGGTTGGCTTGATCAGGGGTTAAACACTTCTCAACATTATCCAAAAGTTTATGAAAAAATGGAGAAGGATGAGAGTGTTGTATAGCTATTTCTGATAGACTGTAAACCCCAGAAAATTGTTGCAAGAGCAAATTTCCCATTTGTGTTGGACATTGTAGCTATTCTCCTTCCTCAGTTTTTAGTTCTGTGATCCATTTATTCCCTTTTTTCCTGTTTGCCCACTTATGAAAAAATTTGAAATTTCTATCCTCCTGCAGGGGCCAAATAAGCTTAACTCTTTGTTGCCAGTAGTCCTGTTGGTGTTGCAAAGCCTCTTCCAGTTCATTTCTCAGTTGTTGCAGCTGTATGAAAAGAGCATTGTCAGTTTGGTTTGACTCCCACCTGTGCTGCATGGTTGTGAGTTTATCCGTCAACTTAAGTACCAATTTTTCTATGTTTCCAAAACGGTCTTTACTCGAATTATGAAGTGAAGTCAGGCTTCTATTCAATTTATAGGAAAGACTCTCCTGATGATCCTCAATATGCAGACCTTCTTGAGTCCATGCAGTTTGGACTAGTATGAGATAATTGTGGGCAGTTAGTCCAGAATCGTTCAAACTTCTTCTTTCTCCTTGTCTTTTGGTATTTGTCTTTCAAATGAACCAGAATGGGGTCATGATCTGAAGATATGAGGGGAAGATATCTGATAATTGCCTTGGGAAAATGAGATAGCCATTCTTTGTTGACAAAGGCTCTATCAAGTCTTTCAAAAATAACATCCTGGTGCAGTCGTTTGTTGGTCCAAATGTACCAACAACTTAAATGCTTCAATTCTTCTAGGTCATTTTATGAGAGGAATTATTGAAATTTTCTTGTATCCGGATCTCTAACTTGTCTTCCTCCAAACTTGTCTTCCTGATTAATTCAATAACGTAGAACATTTGAAGTTTCTTGCCCCACTCGTTTGAATAATCAGCAAGTTAAATTCACAATTGTGCCATCTCTTGTCGGCAACTCGACAAAGTAAATAGTTTATTACTATCCACACTTTAGTAGTGACTGTTAGTAATACTAATAATCGTTTTAATCTTCCTTGGGATGCAATCATTTCCATTTCATGTGGTTAATTATATTGGTCAACAAAGCACATATCCCGGCAAGTATCCAAGAAGCATAGCGTTTCTATATATAAATCAGCAGTGCATGCAGCTTCTATAGTTCTGTACTATTCCTTTTTTGGGAAATTAATATAGAAGATGATTAGATGAAGATCAAGAAGATTCAGCAGCTTCCAAGAACTTTGATCCACCATGTATAAATGACAGGGTCAGTTAGATTAGTCTGCTGAGTTAGCAACAATTAGTTTAATCAGTTTTGGATTAGACGTGCTAAGCACATAAGTTCATGTATGACTATGTATATGGATACTGTTTGTACCGAAAGCTTAAGCTGAAACAATATAAAACAGAGCAATTGAGTTCTTGCTCCCAAGATCCAAAACTCTAGCTTCGATACAAATTTTCTACCCAGAAATTTCTTCATTCCTTCTTATTTCTTGAATTCCAGCTGCAAACTATCCGGCCAATGGCGTCTCATTCAATGATGAAAATCATGGCCAAACCCGAGGGGACTAAATTACGTATTGCGATGTTCCCATGGTTGGCCTTTGGTCACATCATACCATTTTTGGAATACGCCAAATTCTTAGCCGAAAAAGGCCACAAAATCACCTTTATTTCAACTACCAGAAACATAGATCGCCTCCCAAAAATACCTCCAAGTTTAGCCCCTTCGATAGAATTCGTAAAGCTTCCTATGCCACGCATTGAGGAGCTCCCTGAGAATGCGGAGGCCACCATGGATGTTCACAATGATGATATTGAGTACCTTAAGAAAGCCTACGACGGGCTGGAACCCAAGTTGATTGGTTTTCTGGAGAAATCCCCGCCGGATTTGATTATCTACGACTTTGCTCCTTACTGGCTCCCGGAAAAGGCGGCTAAGCTGGGCATCTCTTGTGTGTTCTTTAGCATTTTCAATGCTTGGTTTTTCGGCTTCTTTGGATCCACGGATATGTGTTTGAACGGATCAGATCCGAGGAAAACCCCGGAAGATTTTATGGTTCCAGCTCCGTGGGTCCCGTTCGAGAACAAGGTTGCCTATCGGCGATTTGAGGTTGACTGGATGATGGCCACCGGAAAGAGTAACGCTTCCGGCGTCTCGGACATTCTCCGAGCAGCCATAATCATGAAAAACTCGGATGCGGTAATAATACGGCACTGTCTTGAATTCGAAGGCCAGTGGTTGAAGCTACTAGAGGACCTTCACAACACGCCGGTGATTCCATTGGGCTTAATGCCGCCACCGCCGCCGGCGGTGACCGGTGGCTCAGACGACAACAGTGAAACATGGGTTTTCATTAGATCATGGCTTAATGGTCAAGAAAAAGGATCGGTTGTGTACGTGGCATTAGGGAGTGAGGTGTCGCTGAGTCAAACCAGCGTGACGGAACTAGCTCTGGGATTGGAGTCGTCGGGGGTGCCGTTTTTCTGGGCTCTGAGAAATCCGGCATGGTCTACGGAGCCGTTCGAGCTTCCCGACGGGTACGAAGAACGGGTTAAGGGGAGAGGGATGGTGTGGAAGGGGTGGGCCCCGCAGATGGAGATACTGAGTCACGAATCGGTTGGGGGATTCTTGACTCACTGCGGCTGGAGTTCCTGCGTGGAGGGGATCGTGGCGGGGCTGCCACTAATGATGCTGCCGTTTCTGGTGGACCAGGGACTCAATGCACGTGTTCTGGCGGACAACAGTGCCGGAATCGAAATCCCGAGAAGCGAAGAAGACGGGTCGTACACCAGTGATTCGGTGGCTGACTCGGTGAGGCTGGTGATGATTGATGACGACGGGAAGATATTTAGAGAGAAAGCTAAAGCATTAAGTTTAATTTTTTCAGACACATCACTCCAACAATCCTACTTGGAGAAATCTATTCATTAGGTAGTATTTTTTTGGTTTAATTTTTGCCTCTTTCATCATTGTTTAAAAAAAAAAAGTTGGAGTATTTAATCATTGCAACTAAATCGTTTCTTGTTACGTATGAATCTGAATTCGTAAATGATTGTTTCAATTATTATTTTCTTGGGTGCAAGAAAAAATCTTTCATTCATAATCAAATTAGGGATTAATTACTTTGAATTTTTTATTCATCGTGATTCTCGTCGATCGTGTCTGATTCAGTACTACATTATACTCCCTCCATTTAAATTTTATAATGTAATTATTTTTTCAGTTAATAATAATATCATATGTGTATCATTGTCAAAAAAATATCACTTCTTATGATAAATATATATTTATAATGGACTCTATTCGTATTTTATTTTTTTATATTAAAATAAATATCTATTAAATAAAAGTAATTTAAATAAATTTCAATTTATAACTAAACACCAAGATTAATAAAAATATTTCAAGATAAAACATCAAAAGTAAATAAATAGAAAAAAAAATCATCTCAAGAATTCAATTCAGACATAAGTGATAGGCCTATTACTTATTTTTAGACTCACATTTGTACTAGCATTTCAGACTCACTTAATTTATTAAGACATCCTAATTTGAGTTATCAAACGAATTTAAAATTTAAGTTCTTAATCAATTAAGTTGTAATGAAATTGTGTTACTCCCTTCATTCTAAAATAAGTGTCGTCCTACACTTTACACATAGTTTAAGAAACTCTTAAATAGGGTAATAAAATTACTTGAATATCCTCAACCAACCTCATTCTAAAATTGTCCGCCAATAGCATCAACTTTTTTGAGGGTAATTTTGGAAACTTTTGACAAAAAATGCATTAAAATATGAGAACGACACTTATTTTGAAATTTCTTCATTTTGCTAAAACGATATTTATTTTAGAATGGAGGGAGTATCAAACAGTGTCAATCAATTAAGTTTAAGTGTTGAATTGATTTATCAAAGCCTTAGATTCATTTTCTGATTGGTTGGGTTGGCAGTTGGCTTGCCTGGTCCATGAAGGTGTTTGATATATACAGTGTAATATAATATATATATATATATATATATATATATGAATCTCATTATTTATTTTTGCTTTAATTGATTTATTACTGTCGCACTCACCGAACGTGTACCATTCCAACTCTCCACCAAAAAGCAGCGCAAACTGAGAAAGCAAATTGAGGTGCTAGTAAAAAATGGCGATGGTGAGCAGGAGGAATTTCAATTTTTCAGATAGAGATGCGCAGGAAGATAGTCGAAATGTACAAGTTTCAGCTCAAATAATTGCCACAGAGAAGTAAAGGAAAATAAACACAAAACACCGAAGAAAAGAAAAGTCAGTGATCGAATAATTCTCAATGAAATCCTAGAGGTTTGGTATGGAGCAGTATTTGTTCTTCCAGGGACCGGAAATTTGAACTCACAGCAAAATTGCACAAGTGGCAGCCGTGAGAAAAAAAAAAAAAAAAAACAGATTCAAAGACAATTGTCCTCCCAATAATAGAAGTCCATTTTTTCCTTCAAAAACGATAATTTATTGATTAAGACAAGTAGTCGTTTTACATATTCAGAAATCAGGGAGAAGTATGATTAAGAAAAATAGGCAAACTTTGAATTGAAAAACGATGACATTACTACTATTTTCAAGGGGCCGGCGACGTCTGATTTTTCTCCAGATACTCAACTAGACCATTTTTATGCTTTTCTTGCAGATCTTTGTCACCAAACACATTCTTCATTTGGGCAGCTTTGTCCCTGTAAATCTGCCCCTTTTCACCTGTCATTATCAACCTAATCGATTCACCTACCCAATTACTTCTCAGCGACCCATCTTCACTCCTGGACACTTCTACCCCCACCATTTTATCTTCCAAGATCCTAGCATTTAAACCTTGGTCCGCCTGGAAGGGCAACATCACCAGTGGTTTCCCATGCTGGAGCCCCTCAATGATTGAGCTCCATCCACAGTGCGTTAAAAACCCACCGATTGAACCGTGTGACAGTATTTTCAGCTGAGGTGCCCAACTCCTCCAAACCAAACCCCGTCCTTTGACCCGTTCCTCAAACCCGCTTGGTAATTCAAGCGATTGAAATGGGTTTGGTCTTAAAGTCCAGAAGAAGGGCAATCCGGAAAGCTCTAACCCAGTGGCTAGCTCATTGACTTCATCTTCACTAAGTGACACCTCAGTACCTAATGCCACGTAAATCACAGATCCTCTTGCTTGATTGTCCAACCAGTCACTAATAATTTGCCAGTTTTTATCGAGTTCGGTTTCCCCATCTTGGGCTGTTTGCGGCAATAAGCCCACAGGGATAACAGGCTTCTCAAGAAGCTCTTGGACTAAGCCCAACCACTCTGACTCGAGTTCCCTACAGCTCCGGATGAGAACGGCGTCGCATCCGGTCACCGTCTTTGAGAAACGTTCCCAATCCGAGACGCCGGAGGCGTTCTCCTGAGCTACTTCGGCCATCCGCCCTAACTCGTGACGGCGGAATGCTAATCTGGACGGAAACGGGATCCACTTGGGCGGGGCGGTGTAATCTTCGGGCTTGGTCCGTTGATGGGCCGAGGAAGGTGATCCAAAGAAAGCAGCTGACCATCCGTTGAAGCTGGAGAAAAAGGCAAGTGAAATTCCAAGTTTGGCCGCAGCTGAAGGAAGCAAGTGGCAGGCAAAATCGTAAATCAACCAATCGGGTCTTGAAGTCTCCAGGAATTGTGCCACCTGTATTTGGACATCGTCAAAGGCTTTCTTGAGGAAATGAACCTTATTCAACGGGACGTCGGCGGTAGCCTCAGCGTTTTCAGGCAAACTTTCAGTACGAGGAATATGGAATTCGAGGAAATTAAGGTCTGAGGAGGCTAATTCAGAAGGGAATTTAGGTAGGCGTTGGATGTTTCGTGGGGTGGATACGAAAGTAACTTTATGACCCCTTTGAGCAATTGATTTGGAGAGCTCTAAAAAAGGGATCATATGACCAAAGGCCAGCCATGGGAGGACTACCACATGAAGTTGCTTCTTAGTTTCAGTAGCCATACATGGGAGTTTGATTAGTTCACAAAATGTTTTCTGCAAGTCTGATGTCTTTGAGTTCTGACAACTCGAGAGTCCACATTATAACGAGAAAGTTCAGTACTAAATTAAGTGAATTGGATAGTTATTCACTTATTCTATGCAGTCAGTTTCATTCTTCAATAATTACACAATAATCTAATGCTTTGGCTGATTGCATTGGGAGTATAATGGAAAAGTAGGTTGTCTTTTCCTCTTGTCTTCTGGTTCTCAAGGTCTTGGAGTGATCCTTATGTTCATGAACAACAATGACATCAGCCCTTTTACACTGTTCTTCAATTATTATTTTCATAAAAATCAGTTATTAGTCATTTCTAAACAAATCAAACACCAACATTAAGAACAAAAGAAAGGGGAAAGTGTTTATCTATAATCATCTATATCATCATCTGTACTATATACATGTTACGCCCATATGCACTTGCACCAACAATTTTGGGCCGACAAACGTAGTGTGATGATACCGCCCAATGTACAAACACTTTCTCCACAAGGATTACTCATTTCCAAGGGTAAAAAAAGAAGAGGCACAAATCAAGCAATGAGTTGTCAACGTGCTAAATGAAGAGTGCCATAAAGTCCAATCGAGCAATGTACTGGAAAGGATGAGAAGAATCCTGAACCGTCAATGGATTGTGGAGATATCTCACATTAAAGAGCCGGGCAATGAATCGCCGGATTCTTTAGCCAATAGGTCTAACTTATGTTCTAGGATTACACGCTTTGATAATTCTCCGACTCTCATACTAGAAAAGTTAGCTATAGATTGGTCAAATTCAACTCCCGTTCAATTAGTTCTTTTTGTAACCTAAGTTTCGACTTTCTCAGTATATTAAAAAATATATAAAAAAAAAGAAAGGCACAAATCGGCAACAACCTCAATTCCAAGTGAAAAAAATAATTCTTTTCTAAAACCACTTAAAATCAAAGATGCATATGAGTTGGTCGCCGTAATACACATCTCAACACATGCACAATATTATCCTAAATTTAAAATTTCTTTAAATGTTACATTTCCGCCTGAAATGTTTGAGCAAATCGATCCTTGTTTTTTTTTCCGCTCTAACAATACATAAAGACGATTTTTTTGCTAAAATATATTGTGGAAATCATCGATGGAGGAAGTACAAATGTGAGCGTCAAACTTTTGGTAGAGTTGACAAGGTCTGACAATTAATTTCTACTATAATTTTGAAGAAATGCTAACAACTTTTCAACGTAAGAATCCTGCCTAACTTCATCACAAAAGATGCCATTCATTTCCTTCACTTTATCTCTGTACATTTTTCCCTCATCTTCTAGGATCACCATCCTCAGTGAATCCGCCACAGAATCTCTGGAAAACGACCCATCGGATTCGTCCCTTGGAATCGGATATCCAATTTTCTTTTCCTCCAACAACCGAGCATTAAGGCCTTGATCAGCCAAAAAAGTGAGCATAATCAAAGGCCTCATAAACTGTATGGCTTCCACCACAGAACTCCATCCAGAGTGAGTCAAGAATCCGCCCACTGAGTCATGACGGAGTATCTTCAACTGGGGAGCCCAACTCGTACAAACCACTCCCCTGTCTTTCGTCCGATCCACAAAACCGTCAGGAAGCCCAATCCTCTCGGTATCCCAGTCCCCACGTTTCAGCTTCAAGGCCCAGAAAAACGGCAGCCCAGACTCCTCCAAACCAAGTGCAATCTCGGTGAGTTCAGATTGGCTTGGTTTCGCCTCGCTTCCGAAAGCAACGTAAACTACGGACCCTTTTGCCTGTTTGTCCAGCCACTCTTTATAAACTCTCCATACAGTATTCTTACTCTCATCGGCGTCTTCTTCTTCTTCAACGCTGGGGAGTTGACCAACCGGAATCACTGGTTTCCGGTAAAGATCTTGTTCTAAGAGTTTCAACCACTCCGGTTCAAACTCCCAACAACTTCTCACAGCAACAATATCACAGCCTTCGATGGAACTCCCCAAACGAAAAATGTCGGACACGCTGTTGTCTGGGCCTCCGGTGAGGGAATCGGTGATTTTAGTAATCTCGTAGATCTTGAAACAAACGCTGGTTTCGAAAGGAACCCATTCTGGCTTCACCGTGTAGTCTTCCAGCGTTTTTCTGGGCTGCTTCTCAGAATCAGCGCATTTGAGGATTTGAGCAGAACCGGAAAACCCGAGAAACGATGCGGTGAAAATGCTGAAGTAAGCCGTGGGAATCCCGAGTTCCGAGGCGACAGAAGGCAACCAATAAGAAGCGAAATCGTAGAAGATCCAATCGGGTGAATTTTGGTGGAGGAATTCGTTGATGGGCTGCTGGAGGGCATCATAAGCTAGTTTGAGGTACACGACTTTATCGTAGGGAACATCTGAGGTGGCCTCCGAGTTTATCGGGAGGTCCGGGACGACGTCGTGCCCGGGTAACGGGATCTTGACGTAGTTCAGAAGGTGGGACAGAGTCGGTGGCGGAGGAGGGAGGCGGTCAATGTTTCTGGGGGTGGAAATGAAGGAAATCCGGTGGCCTTTTCGGGCAATGAGCTTGGATAGGTTTAGAAATGGGATCATGTGCCCAAAGGCCAACCATGGAAACATTACAATGTGCAGCTTCCTTTCGTCGGCCATGGCTGGAATTTGGTCAACGATCTGAAAATTATGCTTGCCTTGAATACTCTGCTGCAAAAATTCGTTTTCTTTATAAGTTATGACTAGAGAGCAGAGACTACTATTATACGCCACACCATGTTTTTGACCAATTAAAAATTACTCCCTCCCGTCCTTATATGTCGATATCTGACTGTTCATTATGAATTATGCTTGAGTGTTCTACTTATTTTCAGAGGCGACGACGGAGTTATAGTTTTTAATTGTGCTTCCTTAACGAATAGGAATCTACATGGAAACAGCCATAAAACTAATAGTATCGTTCTTGTTTCTTAGGCTTGACTCTGAACCTTTCCAGCGCATGTAAGAAATGGGTCTTAATTAATCCGTTCTGCGTGGAGCGAAAAAAATTAAATTAAATTTTAAAGGCCAAAGATCAATGAGCAGTAACAAATTTTATTTTATTTTTTTTTATAAAGAAGTTGTTCAATTGGAGGTTTCCATACCCTTGTGTTGCCAAATTAGAGTATTCACACTTCTAGCATCCGACAAAGAAAAAAGATAATGTTTCACAAGTTGAACATTCTATATGATCACCGTTTTCAAAATGTAAAAGGCATAAAAACATTAGATTAGTGTAGGATTCGTTTCAAACTAAGAGTTATAGTTATTGTATTTTTTTTTTCAACAAATAGCTCAAAGTTCAAACAATATAATAATTATTGAATTCTTATTTTAAGATAAGAAGAGTATCATTTAAATTGCGAAAAAAAAACATGTATCTTACTCGTTGTATTATATGGACAAAAGCATTTTGTCAACATAATACTTCTTTTGTTTTCAAAATTCTGATCCGGATCTTACAATCCTGCGATCCGAAATTACGAAATTGATCCTGAATTCCATGGAATCCTTCTTTGTTGTGGGATCGAGCTAAAATCCTTAGAATCCTATGAAATCGGTAGGATCAAGCGATCTCACTGATTTTATCGATCTTTGTACAAATTGTTGATTTCGTATAAAAAGAGGGATAAATGATTAGAAAAGAGATAAAAGATGAAATTTTTAGTTGATGATACTTATTCGGGCACGTCTACTTTTCCTTCATGAATTCAGACCAGAATTGAACTAACAAACCGAAACTCACAATTTTAAAACGACGCCAAAAACAACTTAACTGCACCTTAAATATTTTAGATCTTCACAAAATATTAAGGTAAGTTTAGAATACGTACATATATATTAATATTTTAAATGATTATAATTCTACCAATCTAGAATCCGATCCGAGATACCAAAACGATCTGCGTGAAATCTCAATTTTGAAAACGTCTATAAAAGTATTAGTCTGATCTACACCTAAATTTTAATTGGATCAAAGAAAAGAAACACACGTATGTCCTTACTCCTACTACACCCTCCACCCCCAAGGCCCAAGTAAAACCTGGGTACCTTGCATAATCAAATACTAAATTTTTTAAACATAAACAAGCTAAGATTAAATTCCAGGTATTAGTTTTTGAAGCCACCATCTTTACTACTTAAAGCTACCGTAAATATTTATAGACATTTCAAACTTTCACCAAAGGAAAAAAGAGAGAAAACTTGAAGCCACCTCCCTTCTAAACCTAAATTTGAATTCTAATTTGATCCACCGTTGATGGCAACACGGAAGAATCAAAGCGGGAAAGAGCCGATCTCATCACGCGTACGTTTTTTTTTAAAAAAAAAATTTGTGAATTGTAGGAAAAAAAAAAAAGCATTCTGGCCGCCGGACGCGCAAAGAAGCCATCCGCGCGGCACGACCGGGACGTGCAAGAAACGCGTCCCGGTTCAACCCGAAACGGGCGTTTTGCTCGTTCCGGGTTGAACCGGGACGCGTTTCTTGCGCGTCCCGGTCGCGCCGCCGGACGCCTTCCATGGCCGTCCAGCGGGTGGGTTGAACCGGGATGCGTTTCTTGCGTGTCCCGGTCGTCCGACGGCCAGAATGTTATTTTTTTTTAATTTTTTTTAAAAATTTGTTTAATTCATTATTAGTATTTAATTATGTTTAATTTAATGTAATTAGGGTTATTAAGTAGTTATTTAATAATTAATAGTTTGTGATTTAGATTGAGGTTCTCTATTAGTTGGTTATTTAGTTTAATTGTGTAAATAATTTAATTTAATTAATAGTAGATTAGTTCATTACCTAATTAGTTTGATTAATTTACTCATTAATTTAAATTGTTATTAAAGTATTTAGGTTATATTTTTAATTTAATTACTAGTAGATTAGTAAAGTTAATCATTTTAATTGATTAAATTAATTTAAATTATATGTAAATCAGTTGAATTTTAAAAACTAATTTAATTAATAGTAGATTAGTTCATTACCTAATTAATTTAATTTAATTACTCATTAATTTAAATAGTTATTAAAGTATTTAGGTTATATTTTTAATTTAATTATTAGTAGATTAGTAAAGTTACTCATTTTAATTGATTAAATTAATTTAAATAGTATGTAAATTAGTTAAATTTTAAAAACTAATTTAATTAATAGTAGATTAGTTCACTACCTAATTAGTTTAATTGATTTACTCATTAATTTAAATAGTTATTAAAGTATTTAGGTTATATTTTTAATTTAATTATTAGTAGATTAGTAAAGTTACTCATTTTAATTGATTAAA